TGGGAGAGCTGTGCAGAGAGATTTTCAGGTCGGATCCCAAGTAATGGTTGTGCTGCCAGGTAAAGGTAGGGTGACCGAGTCGCAGTTCAAGGGACCGTACCAAGTGCTGCGACGGTTGGGTCCAGTGTCGTACGAGATTGGGAAGCCGGAAAGACCCCAAAAGAAACAGGTGTGTCACGTAGACCACCTAAAACCTTTCTTCGCTGTGGAAGGAAGAGCCGACAAGCAGGACGGAACGATGTCCCGAGAAACCCAGCGGAAGACGGTTCTGTGTGTACAGGGGGACCGAGAACTCCCGGAGGAGGAAAGAAAGTGGTCCAGGGCGGACGGCACCCGTCTCACCGACACTGAGAGTCTGACAAGGATCAAGGTCAAGCACATCAAGGGGAGGGACAACGTGGTAGCGGATGCCCTATCCCGCATACACTAACCAGACATGACTCTTATTTTAAGGGGAGGGGTATGTGACGGTGTTCCCCCCCCCCTTATAATTCTCCCACGCCTGCAGTAAGAGTCATGTCTGCTTTTCCCAAGCGTTCTCTACGTAGCAGGCTTCAATTTGATATATGGGAGAGAGTGAAGTGTTCTCGGAGAGCCGAGAAATTTGTGAAATAGTAATATTTTGGCCTGTGGTATAGGCCCTTTAGGGAGCCAAGATGGCGCTTGCCTCCCTGATTTCCCGCCAAAACCGTGTGACGTCAGTGGCACCGGGAGCCAATGAAAACCTCCCGTGGCAAAAGTGACGTCACGAAGGAAGGGGGTCCAGGCCGCGCGCCGCGCTGGCGACATCAGTCAGACACGACACGTCAAAGAGGTCGGACGTGCGACGATTGGTCCTGTCAGTTTGACAGTTGTTTCCCGCTCCCGTGGATTTACGCGTCACCTGAAGTCTGCCAGTACTCTGTGAGGTCTTCCCTAGTTCATGTGTTGAACCAGAGAGGGAATCGACGGTTATTTGAGCAACAAGTGCTCCTGTCAGGTACTGTGCAAGAAGAAGCAGTGAAGCCGTGCAGTGACGTATGTGACGTCTGTGGCAGTTCACCAGTTCGTGACAGCGTAGTGGCTGACAGAGCCACTGGGTAGCTGAGGAAGGAGAGGACTATTTGGGAATCCGGACGACTGTAGCTGAGACGTAGGCGACAGCCGTGCTGGGAGAAGACGACGGCCAGGAGACCGACTCCAACCCTTCAAGAAGTCAAGAAGGAGGACGGACCTGCAGTGAAGAGGGCACGGAGACGACGCTCTAAACGGTAGGACGACGAGAGGCTCTGGTATGACACAACGACGTGTCGTGTGGGGGCGTTCCCGACACGAGGACCAGGAGCTACATCTCGACTCTCATCGGAGGATAGGTTGAAGTAGGTGTTTCTAGTTCCCTCCCCATTTCCCTTTAGTTAGCTATATTATTCGGCTATATTTCTAGCCTGAGGATTTTATATGTCGTGAGCAAGTCTCACCAGTGTCACAATAAAGCACCAGTATGCAAGACAGTACTATCAAGAGTACTTGTAATACTTATGTTTATTGTTGGTGTGTACAGGCACCAGGAACAAGTGATAAATTTACTGTGTTGTGTCTATCCCTCTAGAGATTTTGATGTGAACATATAGTGATAAATTATATATAATATTATGCCAGTATTTGGAAGTTAGGCTATGTGCCCAGAAACTATTTATTTTACCATTTACTGATGTCTGATCTATATGCATTATTATGTCTGTGTTCGTGCAGTGATTAATCATTTGTGAGTACAGTGAATTTCTCTTGTGGGCGTTATCGCCCACAAGAGAAAGTACTGAAAACTCCAGTGTTAATATTTCATAATATATTGTTGAATGAAGAACAATGTAAAACCATTACAGTGAGTCATTATAGCATTGATTGTAGAAAAGGCTGTTTGAGCCTGAGTACAGTGTAACCAAGTGATACGTGCTATTGTGCCAATATCGAGAGTGCGAGTTTCTAGTAATATTGGAGAATTTAAAGAAACAGCGCGCGTGAATCTAGAAAACAAGCAAAGCTTTCGCGCGGAGAGGCCAGGCGATCAGCTGTTCTTGACATTTGACAAGGAGGGGAGGTGTTGCCACTTAGTGTTGCCATGATCGCATACTATTCGTGGGAATTACCGGCCGCATCAGGATCAGTTGATTTATTTATTATTGTTTGGCCTTGTGACATCTTTCATACATTTTAAGTAAAATACAAAATCACCTTTGTGTTTTTATCATTCCCTCCATTGGTCTTGTGGCTATATTATACTGAAAGCATAGAGTGATAACAATAAGTACCTGCCTGATTCCTGATCTTTTGAGTGTGACCTTGCCAAGGCTACCACTAATTCCACCAGTCCACTGATGGTGTTACTGGCCACCTAAAACACCAGTTGGCGACCTTGTGGTTAACCGTAGAGCCCGATTGTTGGGGAGGGCACACGACAGTCACGTGAACGAGTCGTGTTCCCACTCTTTCTTAATCAGAGGTCGTTGAGATTGACTGGGAGACTCTCCTGGCGTGCAGTGGCGTCGTGAGGATCGAGTGAAGACCCGCAGGGCTACGGTGAGTGACCTTGAGCATAACTATTGCTCACCCCAGAGTAGGACAGAGAAGTAGAAACCCCCAACAATATATATATATATATATATATATATATATATATATATATATATATATATATATATATATATATATATATATATATATATATATATATATATATATATATATATGTCGTACCTAGTAGCCAGAACGGACTTCTCAGCATACTATGCAAGGCCCAATTTGCCTAATAAGCCAAGTTTTCATGAATTAATTGTTTTTCGACTACCTAACCTACCTAACCTAACCTAACCTAACTTTTTCGGCTACCTAACCTAACGTAACCTCTAAAGATAGGTTAGGTTAGGTTAGGTAGGGTTGGTTAGGTTCGGCCATATATCTACGTTAATTTTAACAACAATAAAAAAAAATTGACCTCATACACAATGAAATAAGTAGCTTTATAATTTCATAAGAAAAAAATTAAAGAAGATATATTAATTCAGGAAAACTTGGCTTATTAGGCAAATCGGGCCTTGCATAGTAGGCCGAAAAGTGCATTCTGGCTACTAGGTACGACATATATATATATATATATATATATATATATATATATATATATATATATATATATATATATATATATATATATATATATTCTAGCAGTACCCGGCCATGCGTTGCTCAGCCACAGCAACCTTCCCTGTCCCTCAGTCCTCCACATCATTCCTCCCTCACCCGTCTTTTCGGCCTCAAAACCATTCCCCACTCCACCGTCCCCTCGGCCTCCCCACAGTTCCCCACTCCACCATCCCCTCTTCCTTTCCACCATGCCCCACTTTCCTGTCCCTTCGTTCTCAGCCACCATTCTCCATTCTCCTTTCCCCTCCATCAGACCGGCGAGGGAGCCGGTTGGCCGAACAGAGAGCACGCTGGACTTGTGATCCTGTGGTCCCCGGTTCGATCCCGGGCGCCGGCGAGAAACAATGAGCAGAGTTTCTTTCACCCTATCCCCCTGTTATCTTGGAGTGAAATAGGTACCTGGGTGTTAGTCAGCTGTCACGGGCTGCTTCCTGGGGGTGTAGGCCTGGTCGAGTACCAGGCCTACACCCCTACCAGAGATAATGCCCCGAAATAATCTCAAGATATTCTAAAGATAACCTCCCCCATATCTCTTGTCCCCACCAACCCAAACTCCTCCGTCCCCTCATCCTTCCTCACCATTCCCTACTCCAGCATCCCCTCTTCCTTGCCACCATGCTCCACTCCCCTGTCCCTTTGTCCTCCCCACCATTACCCCCTCCCTTGTCCCCTCGTCCTCCCCACCATCTCTCACTTTGGTCCTTCGTCATCCCCACCATTCCCCACTCCCTCGTCTGATGCCTTTCCAAATGGTCTGATGTTCCCATCAGAAAATTGGGAACCTCAAGTGATCTGATGTTCCCATCACTGAATTATATAAAAAAAAACGTTAAAAAATGAAAGGAAAAAATACAAAAAAAATAAACAATACTCATGAAATGAACAGTATGGTAAACAACACAGCTCAATTCCAACGCAATTCACACAAAATAATTAAATCAAAATGAAAATAAATCTAAATCTATGAAAATTCAATTTATCAATGCAATCAGAAACGCTGAAATGGAATTGTAACATTTAGTATAGCATGTGTATTGCTCTTACATGCAACAGATGGCGCTGTTTTTCAAGAAAAGCATAGTTTTACCTGTCACAGGTGTGGCATCTATACTTATACTTACGAATGAATGGTATGGCAAACAACACAGCTCAATTCCAACACAATGTCACATATAATAATTGAATAAAAAATAAAATATATCGAAATCTATGAAAATAAAATATGTCAATACAATCGGAAACATTGACATGGAACTCGTGACATATTTAGTATACCGTGCATGTTGCTATTATGTGCAACAGATGGCGCTGTTTTTTCAAAAACGCATGATTTTATCTGTCACAGGGCTGGCATCGATATAGTTGTATATGAAAAGACGTGCCAAATCGAATGCAACGTTGTATTAAAATTTCAAAGCAATCGGTGAAGAACTTTATGAGATTACAGTATGTGTTGCCCATACGTCCAACAGATGGCGCTGTTTTTCAAACAAAGCATTTTTTTTCCTGTCTTAGGTGAAGCATGTATATAGTAGATATATCAAAAGACGCGCCTATTTGAATGTAATGTTGAGTCAAACTTTCAAAACAATCGGTAACGAGGTTTCAAAGATTTCCTTCACTTGGAAAAACACATGAAAAACACAGTTTTTCAGTAAAAGCATGTTTTAATCCGTCACAGACGTTTCATCTATATAGTATGTATATAAAAATCTGGCCGGATGCGAATGGAACGTTGTATGAAAATTTCAAAGCAATCGGTGAAGAACTTTCGGAGATTAGCGATTTTGAACTAACGAACATTTCCATTTTTATTTATATAGATATCCTGGCAGCATCAAGAGACGGGGGTGTGAGGGTGTACCGGCGGTGTCTGTACTGCAACAACGGGGACCCGGACGTCCAACTTCTCCACAACTTGAACATCTACTCACCCGACCTTCTTTGGGACGACCTCTTCCAAGGTAAATTATTACTGCTAGAAATTGGATACAATTTTTCATGATAAATATATTACAAACAACGTTAATGAAAAAAATTCCTAACAGGCGAGATAAACATATCACCACATATTATAATATAATATTAGGAACTTTCATACATCCTGTGTACAGTGGATATGTGTCCGTGGAGGAAAGCCAGGAAATTCACCTACAGACAGAATTAACCCACCGGAAGTAATTAAGTAAAGAATCTATATTCAAAAGATAAACTCAAAACACGATGGAGCCTATCTCGACAGAACGATTTGAAGACTTGATGGGCAACAAGATGAGAATAGTAGCAGCCACACCCGCCTTCCCATTCGTGGACTACGAGCGTGTCAGCGAGAACCCTGGAACAGCCGTCGTGCTGAGAGACTCCCTCGACGCCAGACTCATCCGCAACTTCGCTGCCAAACTCAACTTCACGTAAGAATTCACTTTGTAAAATATGCATATGAATAAATGATTACAAATATTTATATGCTATTTTACACACACACATACATATCAATGACTGATGATTGTAGAGACCCAAAAGAGCTCAAATTCTGATCACTAGCTGCTGATGATGATAGTAGTATGGGCCGCAAGAGCTGAAGCTCAACATTCTACTGCACTGATAGGTGAGAATATTTATGTGAAAATAAATATTAGTTAAGAACAGTGAAGGTAAATCGAAGCCAAAGAGGCAGTTTCAAATTAAAACTATATCATGAAGCTACTAACACAAAGACTACACTGAATTGTGTGAAACTTGATAGTAGGAACACTTGGCTACATACAAGCAACAAGCCAGTAGAGGAAATAATGGTGAGCGCTGCTCTGTGTATTTCAAACTCAAAATCTATAAAAGAGAAGACAAGGAGGTTAACCCAGAAAGAGAGAGCACTAACGCCTACAGATCAGGAGCCAGATTCACGAAGCAGTTACACAAGTACTTAGGAACATTTTTGTTCTTACCATCTTTGTGGCCGCTACATCGGGATTCAGGAAGAAATTTAAGAACGAAAATCTTCCTGCGTTAGAACACTGCGTTGCACTACAACATCGCTAGACCAGTCATAGCTTTACTTAAACTGGATATTGCTCAATTTTTCTCTACTACACAAACCACAGGATCGATTTTAATATAAACAAACATTTTTGCTGGTGAGTCTCATCAAGGAGTCGGACTCCTGGTTCAATCTTGACAATGAGCAGATGTCTGGACTTCTCCTCCTAGGAGCTGTTACATCACGTTCTGTTTTAGCGACTTAGGATTTGATACTGCTGTTTGATTTGATACCTGGCCAACGGTCCCATTTTTACGACGCCTGGTGCACGTATTCCCTTAGTCACAGGATGGTTGATAGATTTTGAACGTTTTTGGGCTGGTTCTTCCGGCGGAGTGACGATGTCCGGCGTCGGGTTGGCTGAGAGATGCCGGGAGTTGACGGGTCTTGGTGGGCTCCGGGTGCGTCGTTAGCCGTGGTGGGCGGCTGGCTTCTGCTATGCTGGAGGGCATCGGTTGACTTTTGCGTTTTAGTTGGGAACCAAATTTTGGTTTAGTTACCCGGTGTTTTCTGTGTGGGGGTGGGCCGGTGCTTGTCACCATAAGGAACTCGTGGGGCTTCCCAATTATCCGCCTGTCTGTGCGTTCATTTACCCCAAGGCATATTAGTTTTAGGTGTTACGCGTCATTCGTTTCGCCATTAGGATTTGTGATTCATCCGTTCCGGCTTCGCGATTAACCCTTCATGGGTATGCCAGGGTGCATCCGATCCCACGATCATCGTCGCCCCTTAAATCACAACAACATCAAGGAGTCCTTCATGTTAGCTATATATGCATTCTCTGCTTAAAACGAGTAGTAGATATCTTTTTATGATGTATTTAGATTCTTAATAGCAAGATATTATTACAGTAGTAGTAGGCATCCATCAGTCATAGGAGACTATAGAGTTGCGCTCTGGTTGTCGGTCTGGAGTGGCCTCACCAGGGCACAAAGCCAAGGTAGGTTGATATGGAGGAAAAGCTGTCATCCAAGCAGCAGGTACCCCCCCCCCCCTTATCCACGGCGCCGAAAGTCTCCAATGGTAAGGCAAACGCAAATACGATCGGGTTCGAGCGCCGTGTAGTTATTTACCTGAAGTTATTAAGTAAATAAACACTGGTGAACTTGATATAGGAGAGTAGGTGATGATCCTGGGTGGGACCGGAATACTGGGAAGCATTTACTATCATCTAAAGCCTCTGTTCACCTAGCACTAAGTATAGCTACGCAGAGAACAGAGGAAAGGGTCCTGAAAGATATTGCTGATAGGAACGTCATCCCTACAGACAAAAATCAGAAAATACAATTGATAATTTATTATACAACCAAAAAAACGGCCAATCTAATCATAAAAACTCCCCAGACACCAAGCAGAACACTCTGAAGGAGACCAACGTCGTCTATGCCTTTAAATGCTCACTTAGGGACTGTAAGCATCAAAGAACTCAGTATATAGGCAAGCCAACAACAACGTCTCTTTCTAGACGACTAACAATGCATAAGCAACAGGGAGCCATCAGGGAACACATAATTTCTTCTCACCATCAGACCATCACCAGAGAAATCTTAACAAACAACACAGAAATCATCGATAGGTACGGCGATAGCAGCGGGCTTGACATCAGCGAGGCACTACACATCAAAAAGTCAACACCAGCAATCAACAGCCAATTAATGCCCAACTATATTCTACCTACTTCAAGACCCCGAACCAATATGGAAGCCGCAAGAGGAAGTATGGGCCAATAGACCTTCTGCAGTTACTTCCATTCATATGATCACTTATCCAATTTATACCCATTGTTTCATGTTCTGTCTTGTTTGTCACCTCACCCCAAACTTTTGTACCATATCACCTCATCCAATAGAGTATAAGTACGAAAAATTTGTGTGTAAATTAAGTCTTTGAAAATGTAATATGAATTACGAAACGCGTTCAGGCGTCAGACAGTATATATATATATATATATATATATATATGTCGTACCTAGTAGCCAGAACTCACTTCTCAGCCTACTATTCAAGGCCCGATTTGCCTAATAAGCCAAGTTTTCCTGAATTAATATATTTACTATAATTTTTTTCTTATGAAATGATAAAGCAACCCTTTTCCCTATGTATGAGGTCAATTTTTTTTATTGGAGTTAAAATTAACGTAGATATATGACCGAACCTAACCAACCCTACCTAACCTAACCTAACCTATATTTATAGGTAAGGTTAGGTTAGGTAGCCAAAAAAAGCTAGGTTAGGTTAGGTTAGGTAGGTTAGGTAGACGAAAAAATATTAATTCATGAAAACTTGGCTTATTAGGCAAATTGGGCCTTGAATAGTAGGCTGAGAAGTGCGTTCTGGCTATTAGGTACGACATATATATATATATATATATATATATATATATATATATATATATATATATATATATGTCGTCCCTAGTAGCCAGAACGCACTTCTATGCCTACTATTCAAGGCCCGATTTGCCTAATAAGCCAAGTTTTCATGAATTAGTATATTTTCTCTAATATTTTTCTTATGAAATTATAAAGCTACCCATTTCATTACGTATGAGGTCAACTTTTTTTTATTGGAGTTCAAATTAATTTAGATATATGACCGAACCTAACCAACCCTACCTAACCTAACCTAACCTATCCTTATCGGTTAGGTTAGGTTAGGTAGCCGAAAACGTTAGGTTAGGTTAGGTTAGGTAGGTTAGGTAGTCGAAAAATAAATAATTCATGAAAACTTGGCTTATTAGGCAAATCGCGCATTGAATAGTAGGCATAGAAGTGCATTCTGGCTATTAGGTACGACATATATATATATATATATATATATATATATATATATATATGTCGTACCTAATAGCCAGAACTCACTTCTCAGCCTACTATGCAAGGCCCGATTTGCCTAATAAGCCAATTTTTCACGAATTAAGGTTTTTTCGACTACCTAACCTACCTAACCTAACCTAACCTAACTTTTTCGGCTACCTAACCTAACCTAACCAATAAAGATAGGTTAGGTTAGGTTAGGTAGGGTTGGTTAGGTTCGGGCATATATCTACGTTAATTTTTACTCCAATAAAAAAAAATGAACTTATACATAAGGAAATGGGTAGATTTATCATTTCATAAGAAAAAAAATAGAGAAAATATATTAATTCGGGAAAACTTGGCTTATTAGGCAAATCGGGCCTTGCATAGTAGGCTGAGAAGTGCGTTCTGGCTACTAGGTACGACATATATATATATATATATATATATATATATATATATATATATATATATATATATATGTCGTACCTAGTAGCCAGAATGCACTTCTCAGCCTACTATGCAAGGCCCGATTTGCCTAATAAGCCAAGTTTTCCTGAATTAATATATTTTCTCTAATTTTTTTCTTATGAAATGATAAAGCTACCCATTTCATTACGCATGAGGTCATTTTTTTTATTGGAGTTAAAATTAACATAGATATATGACCGAACCTAACCAACCCTACCTAACCTAACCTAACCTATCTTTATAGGTTAGGTTAGGTTAGGTAGCCGAAAAAGTCAGGTTAGGTTAGGTTAGGTAGTCGAAAAACAATTAATGTATGATGACCGGAGACGGAAGTATAATGGCAGTAGATGGAAGTGTGAAGACGACAGAGGAGGTACAGACAGTAGATGTCTGACTCTAGACGTGAAGAGAAGAAGACGAGGTGACGGAGGGTGGAAACAATAAGTAAAGTGGACCGATGGAGTGCAGGCGTCCTGGGAGGACAGCCTAGCCAAGAGGTGACAGAGAAGTCAGATCGTTTATGAGAAGATCATGTTTCTGGCGGGTTGTGAACCGGATGTTGCAAGGTGCAACGAACTAATTGTAGACTCCTAAGGGAGTACGTAAGCAGATCAACCGGTCGAACCAATCGGTTGAAGAACGAGACAGTGTGGTGGCGGATGTATTATCCCGAGCTTTGCCACTGGAATAACTCTCAAAAATAAGGGGAGGGGAGTGTTATGATCTCAGCCTACAGGAGAAATAAGTCTCCCCCTTGAGAGTTATTCAGCAAGCCTGACCTAACCGGAAGGTTTAAGAAATATAAAGGTGATAACACATATGTAAAATAGCTGGTTGGATATGATGAACAATTTAAGATTATGGGCAGTGAAGAAGAAAACAGATAAATGACTGGCTAGGAGATGTGGACATTTTGCTGGAGGCGTGAGGCTCGCTTCTGGAGGGCTTTGACCTCACTTGAGGCCAGACATCGCAGGGGGAAAGCCGCGCTCCGTTGAGCTCCCGTCAGAAAGGAACCCCATAGTGATATATCTCGAAGAGAAGAGAAGTGTGCAGACGGACCAGCTGTGGAATCGAGCTGGGAACGTTGTGGTCTCAAGTCCTGG